GTTTGGACGGGACGGGGGCTGTCGGCGGCGAGGAACAGCACCATCCCCAGGAAAAAGAACGGAAATCTCGGGCGGGAGCGTTGTTCTTGCTGGGAGCGGCGCCAATTCAAACAAAAGATAGGGCGCCAGCCCAGCGTAAAACGGAAGGAAGTCTCGGGCGGGAGCGCTGGTTTTGTTGGGGCGGCGGTTTTCGGCGGCGAGGAGGAACACCGCCTTGAGTAAGAAGGGGGGAAGCATCGAGCGGGAGCCGTGGTTTTGTCGGGACGGGGGCTGCCGGCGGCGAGGAACAGCTCCGTCTTCAGGAATAAGGGAGGAAGCCTCGAGCGGGAGCGTTGTTCTTGCTGGGAGCGGCGCCAATTCAAAAAAGAGTAGGGCGCCAGTCCAGTCGTCTCGGGCGGGAGCGCTGGTTTTGTTGGGGCGGCGTTTTTCGGCAGCGAGGAGGAGCACCGCCTTGAGTAAAAAAGGAGGAAGCCTCGAGCGGGAGCGTTGTTGTTGCTGGGGGCGGCGCCGATGAAAGAAAGAGTAGCGCGCCAGTCCAAGGTGAAACGGGAGGAAGTCTCGAGCGACAACGCTGGTTTTGTTGGGACGGCAGCTTTCGGCGGCGAGCAACAGCACTGGCCGTGAGTAGAAAAGAAGGAAATCTCGAGCGGGAGCGTTGTTTTTGTTGGGGGGCGGTTTTGCCTGCCCCCCAAACCGCTCGAGCGTGAGCCTCATTTTCAATGACGGCGAGAGCGCCAGAGCGCCTGTAAGGGGTCCAACAATAATAATTGTTTAGCATTTAACATTAATCCACACAACCAACAACAACACAACAACACAACAACAACAACAACACCAACAACAACAACAACAACAGCAGCAGCAGCAGCAGCAGCAACAACAACAACAACAACAACACCAACACCAACACCAACACCAACACCAACACCAACACCAACAACAACAACAACAACAACAACATCATCAACAACACCACCATCAACAACAGCAACAACAGCACCAACGCAACAACCAGAATACGCACCATGGATACCCACTAGAGCCACGCACCCAGGGACAATGAAAGACCGTTCGGCCCCATCACTTTGATATGTAGATACGTACATATATATATATATATATATATATATGTATATACATATATATATACACATATACCGATGTATGTGTTCGCTCATTGCCTATACAGGTGTGCAGTTGCCGCCCCCCGACGATGGGGTTCCCGCGCGCGGCCCCACGAAAGCGGCCCGGCGCCCTGGCGAGCGCGACGCCAGCGCCGCCAGCCCGGCCGCCGCCGCCGCCGCGGCGCGGCGCCACCGCGCCCGCCGGCGGTCCGCTCCCGGGGCGGACGAAAGCGCAGGATAGCAAGGGGAAGAGGAAGAGGAGGAGGAGGAGGAGCGCCAGTGCCCGCCGGAGGAGGAGGAGGAGGAGGAGGAGGAGGAGGAGGAGGAGGAGGAGGAGGAGCAACGGCAAGGGAGGCACTGGCCCGAGGGGGGAAGCATCGGCCCCGCTCGCCCACGTCTCGCCCATTCCCGGGGTACCCAAATCTCTGGCGAAGTGGTATTGGCAGTCCTGGCGTCTTTCCGGGGTGTCGGCCTCTGGGGTCTGTTCATGGGAAAAATTAAAAAAACAATCCTGGGGCGGACGATGAAAACAGAATTGCGCCGGCCAAGTTGCCCCCACAATACTGGGGGGGAGCAAGCCGACGGAGGGCGGACAATCCCGGCCTGACTGGGTGGCCGAGGGGGGGGCCCACGAGGCCGCCAAAAGTTTGGGAACCATGCCCTTGAAACGTAAGATGTTTTAACCTTCCCCTCCACCTCCTCCTGCCCCTTCCCCTCCTCCTCCTGCTCCTCCTCCTCCTTCGCTTCCACCTTTTTCTCCTCCTCTTCCTCCTCGTCCTCCTCCTGCTCCTGCCAGTCGCCGCAGTCGTACACGAGGATGACTGCGCCGACCAGAAGGATGGCGAACAAAAACGACGACAACAACGACGACGACGAGGTTGAGGACGAGGACGACGGCGACGACGCTCGCGAGGACGACAACGACGAAGAGGACGAGGACGATAACGACGGACGACGACGCACCGCGGATGCCCGATGGGGAGGGGCTGCGCAGGCACGCTGTAGTCAACGACGACGACGGCGACGACGAGGACGAGGATGAGCGGATTAGGGCGAACACGAGGACGAGGACGACGGACGACTGCGCCGACCAGAAGGATGGCGTTGAAGACGACGACAGCGACGACGACGATGAGGACGAGGACGAGGACGAGGCCAACGACGACGACGACGACGACCACGGACGACGACGGCGACGACGCACTGTGGATGCCCCATGGCGGGGAGGGGGAGTGCTGCGGAGGCCCGCTGTAGTCGACGTCGACGACGAGGACGAGGAGGAGGACGACGACGAGGACGAGGACGATGCCGAAGACGACGACGGACGGCGACGGCGACGACGACGACGACGCACTCCGGATGCCCTATAGGGCGGTGCCGTGGAAGCCCATTGTAATCGACGACGACGACGACGGCGACGGCAGAAAAATTGCCGGGGGGGCAGACGATTACAAAATCAGTTCTGCCGGCTGGATTCCATTAGTCTGCCCACCTCAATTATTTTGAAGCCCCTGGGGGGAGAAGGGGGGGACGTTTTTTTACTTGCTTGCTCCCGTGATCGGGCCCCGGGACCATCAACAAGGAATCCGGGATACGGAACTACCCCCAGGGCCAGGGAAAAGGTCAGGAACTTTGGGGCCGCAGATTGAAAAAACATATCGGAGTATGTCTGGGTATAGAATCAGACCCCGAAAACCAGCGCGTGAAATGCGCCTGAGGGGAAGCCCGGATCACCGTTAACGCACCAGCTTCTTCAACGGCTGCGGGAATAGAAGAAGAAAAAACACCACAAAAATAAACTTTTGGCGTTCCGCGCGGATTTCTAGGATCTGCGCTGGAACCTGGCGCACGAAGCGAGCCAGGGGCGGCGCCGGAGGCGCCGCCAGGGGAGGTCCAGCGCGGAGTCAAGAAATCCGCGCGGAGCACCAAAAGTTTAGGCTTATGGCGATTTTTCCTCTTCGAAGGAAGTCACCGCGCAGCGCGCGGAGCGAAGGAACCCAAGATACCCTGCCGAAAAACATCTGGCTTCTTGATGCGCGCCCCCACTGTATCGAGGAGTGGGCCCGCTGCCGGGCCGAGACCGGCTGCATGCGGCAGGCTTCGTAATCCATCCCCTTTCCGTGCCCTACCCTTCGGTCGGGCATGTCCTCCTACAGGCGGATCTCAAAAAAAAAAACACAAATTAAGCATGGCCATTTATATGCAGAAACAGCGAAAAGAGCACGAACAATGGTCACCCGATGCTTGTACTATTTTTCCCCACGTCCGAAGTGGGGTTCTTGTTTTCTCTGGACACCCCGCGCAGGAACAGGAACACACACACACACCCACTCACACTCACTCACACTCTCTCATCATCAACCTCATCAGCATCATCGATGATGCTCTCTCACATGCTTAGCCACTCACATACTCATCATCATCATCACTCGCACTCTCTCACACGCTCACGAACATCATCATCATCATCATCATCGGCATCGGCATCATCCTCATTCAAACATCATCATCGCCACCACCACTCACAATCAATCATCATCCTCTTCACCACTCATCTTCACCACCACTCATCATCCTCATCCTCATCATCGTTGAGTAAATTGTGAGGAAGTCTCAGGCGGGAGCCCCCTCCCTATGGGGCCCGCAGATCATGTTGGTAATCCGAGCGGGTCATCGGGATCCTGTAACTGTCGTCACTTTTGAGCTCCCCAGGCCTGAAAGTGGAGGAAGTCTCAGGCGGGAGCCTCGTTTGTGAGTGAATTGGGAGGAAGTCTCAGGCGGGAACTCCCTCCCTATGGGGCCCGCAGATCACGTTGGTAATCCGAGCGGGTCATCGGGATCCTGTAACTGTCGTCACTTTTGGGCTCCTCAAGCCTGAATTTGGAGGAAATCTCAGGCGGGAGCCTCGTCTGTGAGTGAATTCTGACGAAGTCCCAAGCGGGAGCCCCCTCCCTATGGGGCCAGCAGATCATGTTGGTAATCCGAGCGGGTCATCGAGATCCTGTAACTGTCGTCACTCTTGAGCTCCCCAGGCCTGAAAATGGAGGATGTCTCAGGCGGGAGCCTCGTTTGTGAGTGAATTGGGAGGAAGTCTCAGGCGGGAGTTCCCTCCCTATGGGGCCCGCAGATCACGTTGGTAATCCGAGCGGGTCATCGGAATCCTGTAATTGTCGTCACTTTTGGGCTCCTCAAGCCTGAATTTGGAGGAAGTCTCAGGCGGGAGCCTCGTCTGTGAGTGAATTCTGAGGAAGGCTCCGGCGGGAGCCCCCTCCCTATGGGGCCCGCAGATCATGTTGGTAATCCGAGCGGGCCGCCGGCGTCCCTGCGGAAGGCGCTCCTGGAGTTCGACAAGAGAGCGGTTTTGTCCAGGGCGGAGGCGAAGCAGCTCGCGGCAGAGCTGGGCTTCGTGCTGCCTTCCGCCTGAGCGCGGCTGCGCCTCGCTCGAAGCCCGCGGGGTTGTCCCAACGGCTTGGTCTTGCGCGCCAACGGCTCGCGGGGTTGTCCCGACAGCCTGGCCCGCGGGGTTGTCCCAACGGCTGCGCGACGTGACCAGTAGAGAACGCGCCTGTGCTGGCCGTGGCGGCGACGGCGCCGAGGAACATCGACATGCGCGCTCATGCAACAGGAAGGGGAGGAGGTGGCGGGGCGCGGAACAAACAGGGGGGCGAGGATGGGGACAACGTAAGGAGTGGAAGGGGGGCCCGCGCCAAGGCGACAGGAAATATACGCAGAAGAGACAGCCAGGACGCCTCACCAACCACGAGGACGACGGTGATGGTTTTTTCCAGATTCGCCCAGAGGATTCTTATGCGGGGTTCTTCCGTCGGAGTAATTGAATTTTCCTCCTGTAGAGGGACATGCCCGACGTAACCCCAC